TTCTTTTAACATTGTGAAGCTCTACTTAGAACCTTCTTAAGATCCAATAGTGCAAAATGCAAATTCTTGCACTTTTTTGACTGGTCTTAAGATTTTTACTATAGATGGGATTGGACCAGAGTATTTTCACTGCTTATATTTTTAAAATATTTTTAAACTTATTATTATACAGATACGTTATATACTTAATTGTTGGATTACTGACAGTCTTGTCATATTTGCTTTAGGGTGTTTTACTTTCAGGTAATTTTGTTTTCTTCCCAAACAACAACAACAACAAAAAAAGGAGTCTGGCGTTAGTAAAACAGAAAAGACACTTAAAACTCAATTTATTCGAGTCAAATATTTATTATAAACGCTATTATGCTTGTAGTAATTAATACAGTGTTAACTACTAGTTTATTAAAGCCGGAAGCATCAGCTGAAATGCACCTGACTCCGTTATAATTTTAGGCTAAAATAAGCATTTTGACTCGTACCTTCCCCACCTCGGCGTTTCCGAGGCTGATCACTTTAACCCGCAGAGACTTCTTGTTGTCACGTCTTTTCGGGGCGTTTGTTTCCATCTGGGTTCCTGTTAAATGTGAGGGGTTGCGGTGAAAATCTGTCAGCTGTTGCAGCTGCTGGTGTTGTTAGCAAGGCTAACGCGGCTAACTACCCGTTAGCGATGCGGCTAACAGTTACCACAGCCCCGAAACCTAATGATTATCATTGGGTTAATTAATAACTACAGCTCATCGTTGAATTTTCATTTTAATGGTGGTGTTTTGGTTTGGTAGCGCATAGCCGAAAGTCAATAGAGCCACTAGCCTGTAGGCTCATTCTTCTTCTTCATTTTAATTCAGCTGCGCAGGCGCACTGCTGCCCCGCTCGGTTCACTTAGGATGTAATGTATGGGGTAAGACAACTGTCAGAAAGGATCGAGCATGTAAGAGTCTAAATTTGTACATTTAAGTCAATAACCGTGCATATATTTTAGATTTGTACAATAAAAATGCATAAATTTTAGATTTGTATTTGTATTCATGTAAAATCAAATATGTTTTCTGTGAATATACAAGCTTAAAAATTACAAATACAAGTTACAAAGTTACAACTTCGCAACATTACAAGTACAAATCACAAATTCACAAGAACCTGAGGAGCTGTCAAAATAACAGATATTATACATGGAACACCGAAATGATCGATTGCAAACAGTAACTAAGCCAGACCACTGTGGGGACATGATCACTTGAATATAGATCACCAGTCTAAGGCTACGTTCACACTGCAGGCAAATCCTCAGTTCCGATTTTTTGAAAAAATCCAATCTTTTTGTGTGAACGTTCACATTACATTTTAAATGTGACCTGCATCAGACTCCTGTGTGAACGCTACTGTCGTGTATTTCCATGTATGGCCCTTTAAGGAACGTGAACGAGCCAGGCACGCTCACGC